CTGAGGGCCCATCCACTTGTCTTACTTTTCTGGGGATTGAATTGGATACCGTTCGGCAATCCAGTAGGTTACAGGATAGCAAGCTTTCTGATCTGCGGATCCTGATCCGGAACCTGTTGCTGCGGCAACACGTCACATTGAGAGAGCTTAATGAGGTGGTGGGTCACCTCAATTTTGTGTGTAAAGTCATTGACCCAGGTAGGGCTTTTCTCAGAAGGCTTTGCGGAGCCATGAGTGGTTTAAAGAAGCCATATCATCGGAGAAAAATGTCAGCGGATATGAAAGATGATTTGCATACCTGGTTGCAATTCCTGGATGGATTCAACGGCATTTCATTTTGGAGAGACGAGCAGTGGCTTGGAGCTGAGTTCCAGGTGCACTCTGATGTGGCAGAGTCATGTGGATATGGTATTTATTTCAGAGGCTGTTGGTGCACTGGGCGATGGCTGGTGGCTTGGTATGACTCCAAAGTCACCCAAGATCTCATGTTTTTGGAAGTTTTTTCCCAATTCTTGGGGCACTATGGCTTTGTGCAGACATTTGGGCCAACTCAGCAGTCACCTTTTGGTGTGACAACATGGCTGTAGTCCAAGTAGTGAATAACCTCTCATCTAAATCTGTGAGAGCTACGAGACTCATAAGAGCCTTCACACTATGCTGTTTGGAATACAGTGGTACCTCGCAAGACGATTACCCCGCAGAACGATGAATCCGAATGATGACGAGGTTTTGCGACCGCCATTGTGCTTCGCAAAACAGTGTTTCCTATGGAGGAATTTCGCTGGACTCCGTTTAGGTCCGTGTTTCCCCAGACACTTTTTTTCCCCGGGACTGATGCTTAGCAAGAGGACGATTGAACAGCTGATTGGCGGCTCTGCAAATGGCTTCCCTAGGGCAGCACTCTCCAACCATTTTCTGTGTGCGAGGACCGTGCACGCCAATGCAAAAAGCCCAGCGCAACCCTTGCCTGCCAGAGCCACCCATGCAGGTGATCCGAGCCAAGCAGCCTTTCTGCTGGTCAGTCGCAGTCGCCACCAATCCCCCATCGCTCCTTTGCCCCACAGCATTCTTCACAAAAGGGAGACTTTGTGATGGGCTGCCTCTGGCCCCACTGCCGGCTGTGGAAAGGTGGCTCCGGCAGGCTCAAGGCAACTCTTCCACCCAGCAGGGAGTCTTGCACAGCGTGCGTGCGTGCTCTCCTGCCGAGTGCTCCATCTCTCCCCCCCCTGCATTCCTTCCCCCCACACTCCTTCTGCTAGCCTTCCCGTATCCCCTCAGCAAATCTGCTTGGTTAGCTAAGGTGAGGGCAAAGGGGAAGCACAGCCTGACGGAGACATAGTTTGTAGCAACGAGTGCGGGAAGAGCTGGGGGGAAGAGGACTTTGGGTGCCAACAGCCAAAGACTCTTCCCATTGCTTGAGCGGTGCAACAAGGGACAGCTATGAGAAGTTGCCTCTAGCTGTTCCCTTGCCTCCAGCCTTCCCCAGATAAACCAGCGCACCTCCCAGCCCAGGCGCTGACCCACAGCACACCATCCCTCTTGCTCCGACAATACACGCCAACACTACCCAGGCGCCAGAGCCCCTCAGGACTCAACCCAATTTTGTCAGACGCCCACTCACAAAAACAACGGAAGGGAAGGGGGGTGCTTAGCAAGAGGACAACTGAACAGCAAGAGGACAATTGAACAGCTGACCGGTGGCTTCATGAAGTGGCTTCCCTAGGGTGTTTTCTTTCGCAAGACAGTGATTTAAAATGGCTTCCTTTTGGGCGATCTTCGCTGGACGATGACTATTTTCCCCATTGGAACATATTAAACGGGTTTCAGTGCATTCCAATGGGGAAACTGTTTTTGCTAGACAATGTTTTCACAAGACAGCAATTTTCATCTAGCAAGGCACCATTGTACAATATTGTGTTCCAGGCTTGTTATATTCCTGGTATAGAGAATGAACTGGCTGACGTCCTGTCCCATCAACAGATTGACAGGTTCAGGGAGTTGGCCCCCAAAGATAGAATTTATCCAGACATACTGCCTCAGGAGGTATGGAGCGCTGGAGGATTGAAGCCAACAAAGTGATAAGTTTGGCAATTGCTCCTAGCACCAGGTACAGCTATGCAGCAGCATGCAAAGAATTTTTTGCATTCAGCAAATGTGAAGGCATGGGTAGGCCATGGCCTATAACGGTGGACCATTTGCAGCAATTTGCAGTTTACCTTCGTTTCAAAGGTTTGGCCCCCTGCACCATTCAAGGTAGATTGTCAGCCCATGGGTGTCCAGATTTGGCTGGCGACTTCCAAGTCAAAAAAATGATAGAGTGGCGCAAAGAAAGGGGTAAGCAATTAGATATGCATACCCATATATTCCCCAGGTTTCTAGCTCAGTTGAGTCAAGTTTGGGAAGATGTTTGTATTTATCATTGTGGGGTTAAGTTGTTTAGGGCAGCTACACTATATGCTTTTTTCGGGGCTTTCCATATTAGTGAACTAGTGACAGCATCCAAAAATGATGATTCTCAGACAGTGTTGCAGATGGATGACCTTTTTGTCTCTGAAGTCAGGGTTTTGCTTCATCTCCGCAGTTCTAAAAATGATCAGTTTGGAAGGGGACAGGTTATAAACCTAGGGCCTTGTTCTGTAACTGAACTCTGCCCGGTAAAAGCACTATCTGAATTTGTTCAGTTGAGAGGGGATGTTGGAGGAGACTTAGTTTGCCACAAGGACAGTTTACCCCTTACACAATATCAATTTTGGACTGTAACTTCCTGAGGGCTTAAGAAACCAGGCATTGTAGGATGGAAATTTGGCACACATTCCTTTCGTATAGCTGCAGCTTTCATGGTGGCGGCTTTGGTTTACGGTGAGGATCAAATAAAGAAATTTGGGGGGTGGTCATCTTGTAGGTTTAAGACATATGTTCGTTCCCTCCCTCAATAGAAGTGATGCTGTTTTTTTCTTTTTCAGAACCCAGGGCCCGAGTGGCTGTTTATGGTCACAGCTATATTCACTGGGCAGTGAAGCACACTCTGCAGTCTGGATGGGGGCGTAATTTAGGTTTGGGGGCTTCAGCTGCCCTCGAATGGAAGGGCAAAAGGGGTACACTGTGGCATGAGCTCCTGGAGCTTGCAGTACTGAGTTTCAGGGTTGCGCCCCCCCCCAATATTTTTGTTGTTCATTTGGGTAGTAACAATCTGATGAAACAAACGGGCAAGTCTTTGATTTTGCAGGTCATCTAGGACCTCCAGATATTGAAGGATATGTTTCCTTCAATGAAGCTGATTTGGTCCACTATGATCCCATGGAGGGCTTGGCAAGCTGACTGCAAACGTGGTAGGATAGACAGGGCATGGTGTGGTGTGACCCAAGAAGTTTGCCATGCAATGAGAGCGGGGTTGGGGTATGTGATATCACATCCTGAGATTGTGAGTTACTGGCCCAAATTATATCAGAGCAATGGTGTTCATTTATCGAAGTTGGGCATAGGCCTCTTTCTTAAGGACGTACAAGGGGCCCTTAGAGCCGTAATTTTCAGTCTGGGTGGCAGGCATGGGGCATATAAATAGTCCCTAGCCGTGGCAGGTAGTGTGATGCAAAAAGAGCTAAGTTCATGTTTGCACAGGGTTGCTAAAAATTAGGACATCTCGCTGGTAGGTCAAGCCTATCGATTAGCAGGTGAGAGGTGTCTTATATGCAAGGACCTCCCTGCCAGCTGCCCATTTAGGGTCACGAGGCTCGATGGGAAGAGCTGGTTGGGGGGGGGACCATTTCATAGAACAACTGAAAGCGTGCTGTTCAGCAGATAGCATGATTCAGTAATAGGAGCTCGCCCTGCTCTAGGAAGCGTCTGGAGATCTAGGATTATCCGGACATAAAAGGAATTCGCACTACAGTAGGCTCCCTTGTATTTTGGGGGATACAATTTAAATA